CCTGTCTTTTTCATAAAAAAAAAAAAAGGTTAAAAAAAAAAAAAAGGTTACAACTGCACGCCAAGCATTTGGGTGTGGGGTGGTCCCATTGACTTTAATGGCCATGGTAACACTTAAAGGGTCTCTTTTCAGGGGGTAGCTGAGGGGCGGCTTACAGGAGTCCGGGAGGTTATATACGGCAGCATCCTTATGGCCTGTTTTATACATTATAAAAAAGCATGCCAAGCATTTGGTTGCGGCGCCATCCTATTGACTTCAGTGGGCATGGTGACTCTTAAAGGTTTGCTGTTTGGAGGGCAGCTGAGTGGTGGCTTGCGGGCATGCGGGAGGTGATACGGCCCCCCTCATGAATGCCTGTTTTATACATTATAAAAAAAGAATGCCGCAACTGCATGCCAAGCATTTGGCTGTGGCGTGGCCTCATTGACTTCAATGGCCATGGTAACTCTTAGAGGGTTGCTTTTCGGAGGGTAGCTGAGTGGTGGCTTGCAGGTGTCCGGGAGGTGATACGGCCCCCTCCTGAAGGCCTGTTTTATACATTATTAAAAAGCATGACAACACGTCAAGGACAAGAGAGCGGCATTTATAAAATATAAGACGGAGGGGACGGCATTGGCGTTCCTTAACTACAAAGAATGTAACAAAAAATGCAAACTAGAAATCCGGGCAGCTAAAACTGAGTGCGAAAAGCATATCGCCGCAGATAGTAAAAAGAACCCCAAAAAATTCTACCAATATATTAACAGTAAAAAGGTGAGAAAGGAGCAGATAGGCCCAATAAAGGATGAAAGTGGGAAGCTAGTCACAAACGACAAGGAGAGGGCCGAGGCGCTGAACGCTTTTTCCTCCTCAGTATACACTCGGGAGGGAAACGGGTTTGACACACATGATAAAACTCCCAGTTTAACTCAAAATATACCCCAGTGGTTGACGGAAACCAGAATACAACAAAGACTTAAAATGCTCAATGCAAACAAAGCAGTGGGTCCGGATAACCTGCACCCCAAGGTACTTAAGGAATTAAGCCAGGTTATAACTAGACCATTAATCCTCATTTTTAAGGACTCCTTAATGACTGGTAGGATCCCCAGTGATTGGCGGAGGGCTACGGTAGTCCCAATATTCAAAAAGGGGGCAAGGTGCCAACCTGCGAACTATAGGCCGGTCAGTCTAACATCGGTAGTTTGTAAAATGCTAGAGGGCATAATAAAGGATTATCTGGTAGAATTTGTTCAGGAAAACGGGATAGTTAATGACAATCAGCACGGGTTCAGGAAAGACCGTTCCTGCCTAACTAACTTGCTAACTTTTTATGAGGGGGTAAGTAGAGATATGGACGGAGGTAAGCCGGTGGATGTGGTATATCTGGATTTCTCAAAGGCTTTTGATACGGTACCACACAAACGCTTGCTACACAAGCTGAGGGCTATGGGCATAGATGAGGTGGTGTGTACGTGGATAGAGAACTGGCTACGGGAACGTGTCCAGAGGGTATCTGTAAATGGCACCTTTTCAGACTGGGCTAGTGTAATGAGCGGTGTGCCTCAGGGTTCTGTGCTGGGTCCCATATTGTTCAACTTATTTATTAATGACATCGGGGAGGGTGTTAACAGCGATATTTCCGTGTTTGCGGATGACACCAAAATAGGGAGGGTAATAGACACGGACTTAGACACTATAACATTACAGGAGGACCTGGATAAAATAGGGGAGTGGGCATTAATGTGGCAGATGAGGTTTAATGTCGATAAATGCAAAGTAATGCACTTTGGAATTAAAAATAAACAAATGGGTTATACAATTATGGGTATGCCGCTGGGGAAGTCAGAAATGGAGAAGGATTTGGGGGTCATTGTAGACCACAAACTGAAAGGTAGTTTGCAGTGCCAGGCTGCTGTAAACAAAGCTAGCAGGGTCTTGTCCTGTATTAAAAAGGGGATGTATTGCAGGGACAAGTCTATAATTTTGCCACTTTATAGATCATTGGTTCGACCTCATCTGGAGGACGCGGTCCAGTTCTGGTCACCAGTACTAAGAAAAGATGTCCTTGAGTTGGAAAAAGTCCAGCGGAGGGCAACCAAACTAATTAGGGGTATGGAGGACCAGAGCTACGAGACAAGGCTACTAAATTTAAACATGTTCACATTGGAGGTGAGGAGATTAAGGGGGGATATGATCTCCATGTACAAAATGTTCAATGGTGGCAGCAACATTAGCGATAAACTGTTTAAAATTAACTCCATTACAAAAACTAGAGGCCATCACCTAAAATTGGTGGAAAATAAATTCCAGCACAAGGGGCGAAGGGGGTTCTTCACAGTAAGATCAGTTAGGGTCTGGAACTCACTGCCACAGACAGTGATTTCAGCAAAGAATGTGGAATTGTTCAATAAACTTTTGGACGATTTCTTAAGGGACCGTAATATACAGGGGTACGGGTACTCCTAGAATGAGATCCTAATAGGTTGGACTTGATGGACTAATGTCTTTATTCAACCTCAAATACTATGTAACTATGCCGCAACTGCATGCCAAGCGTTTGATTCCGACACCAACCTATTGATTTCAACGGACATGGTGACTCTTAAAGGGTCGCTTTTCAGAGGACAGCTGAGCACTGTGGCGCATGGGCGATGCCAAGGTGAAGTTGCCACATTGCAAAGCATCGCGGGCATGACAATGCATGCGGTCATGTTGCATTGTGGGTGGGTAGTCAGGCGGCCGTAAAAACACAGATCAACCAATTGTTTTCACCCCCAGCGTCTCCACTGCTGGTGCGAACTTAGCCCACGGCAAGGAGAAAGTTAGCGACGTGTTTTTCCGACAGCCTCAGGGGGGGGGCAGGGAAGAAGTTTGCCTTGCTGTGCTTGTGTGTTTGTGGAGACGCACGCAGCTTACTACGCAAGGGTGGCTCCACAGGACCCAGCAAGGGAAAGGAGCCACCCTCAAGCAGGATATCAGGACCAGCGCTCAGGGGACCAGCTGATTCTGCAAGGAAGCTAAAACTTTGAAACCATCAAGGACCAGCCTCCATTGCAAGTGATTTCACCGGCATTTCTTAAAGCCGCCGACGTTTTTGGCGGCAGTTACGGCAAAGAAGCTGTTAAATTTCTCCGGGAGGGGCGAGGAAGGCCCCTTGTATGCTAGAATGGAAAAATAAAAAAAAAGTCAAGTTGAGATAGATCTGGTTTTGTGATCTGACACCTGGCCCTGCCTCCATTGCTGGTACGTTTGAGAAATCCATTAGGAGCTGTTTTTCCTGCGAGCTCCCAAGCGCGCATTCCAAGTCAGCCCCCATCAATCAAAGAAAGGTCTGTGCTGCCCCACAGCCCCTCTGGAGGCCTCAATCCATCTCACACTCCGTTTTTCTGTCATTACTGGCTGCAGACCTGAAATCACAGTCT